AAGGAGGTGTCATTAAGGTAACAGGTGCCCTTTTTTCTCCCCAGCACCTAATACAGAGATCTCCTGGAGGTTCCAATTACCTGTCATTGGCAAATTCATAGGAGTGAGGTCTAATTCTTTATTCTATCAAAAACTATTAAGCTCCTAGTCCTCATAATAGTATGTTAGATAGGTCTTGTCTAGATACATGTTTTCATGGCAGTGCTTAGAAACTTAGATGTCTTTTTCTTTCTCATTCTCCTCATACCTCTCTTCACTCAAAACTCAAAAACACAACCAGTTTCTTCCAAGATGGCTGGAAGGCATCACAGAATCTGTACCCGTTCATTGAGAAGCTTGTGGCCTCCTTACATGCAGTAAGTCATGCATAAGACATCAACATTGCTGATGGGTTTGCCTTGATTTTAATTGCCTTGATTCAAATACAGGGCTACTACTGTTCATGTTAAATGTGCTGTCCCCTCATGGACAAGTGAAAATTAGCATGTTAGATCAGTCTTAAACAGCTCTTACCTTCACATGATGCTTAGAATGTAACTTGGACCTTCACATGTATAACTTTCGGGGGGGGGGGGAACACAACTGTCCTGGCCCTGGAGAAGTTTTTTTGGAAACTTCTTACTATATGTAAAGGTAAAGGTTCCCTTGCTCGAAAGCCAGTCGAATCCGACTCTAGGGTTGCGGTGCTCATCTCTGTTTCAAAGCCGAAGAGCCAGCACTGTCTGAAGACGTTTCCGTGGTCATGTGGCCAGCATGACTAAACACCAAGGCGCCCGGAACGCTGTTACCTTCCCACCAAAGTGGTACCTATTTATCTACTTGCACTGTCTTGCTTTCGAACTGCTAGGTTGGCAGGAGCTGGAACTAGAGACAGGAGCTCACTTCGTCATGCGGCACCCGGGTCTTGTACTGCTGAACTACTGACCTTCCACAGCCTGCAGTTCAGCGTCTTAACCACCTGAGCCACCGCAGCTCCTCCTTGCTATATGTATTTACTTGTTAATGCATTTACATGCTAACTTTTCTATATAATGCGAGTTAGACTGCAATGCTATACAGAAATACTCCAGTCAAAGGCCATTGAAATCAATGGGCTTAGCCTGGAGCAGTTCTGCATAAGATTGTGCTGTCAGCTTGCTTGTGTTGGCTCACTTAAGGCAACAAAATACAACAGAAAAACAGAAACAAGGCAGATAACCTCAGTGAAACCATGTAACAGTGGCAAAAGCAGCATGGCGAGGAGCCATGGCTCAGTACCAGAGCATCTGCTTTGCATGCAGAAGGTCCTAAATTCATCCCCTGGGATCTCCAGTTAAAAAGGTCAGGTTGTAGGTAAGATAGGTAAAACCTCAGCTTGAGACCCTGGAGAACTACTCCCATCAGAGTAGATAAAACTGACCTAGATAAATCAAGGGTCTGACTTGGTGTAAGGCAGTTCCAGATTTTCAGTCACCCTGACAGATAAAACACAGCAACCTAAAAACCTAGAACAAAAAAAAAAGTGATAAGGGCAATTCTGGAAAAGGCTCTCGAAACTTGACTGGCTTTCCCCTCTAGTGAGGGGTTACACCAGGGATAGAGATCACCTCTTATCCAATTCATAGCTGTTCTTCCTGTTCTAGCTGCATCAAGCAAAGGAAGAAGAGGTAAAGCAGCTCACACGGATTCGAGATTCCCTCCGAGGAATCTTGCAGCTGGAGAACAAAGGGGTGAGTGACTCTGCTATTATTGTGAGGGGCAAGGAATGCAAGCAGCTCCCATGAGGCAAGGTGGGGTCAGTTAGGACTGCTGGACTGTGAGTAATATTGTTTTATGCAGGTCACATTCCAGTTTAATGGTCTTTCTTCCTCCTTGAACCTCAGAGTCATATACAGGGTCCTGTCCTCCTCTGTTTTATCCTTACAATGATGCTGTGAGGTAAATTAGGCAGAAAGAGGAGAGTGTGTGACAGGCCCAAGGTCACCCAAAAAGTGTGAATGGTTGAGAGGAAATTTGAACTTGGATCTCCTCAGGCCTACTCCAGTCCTCTAAATACTACAGACCACCATACCGGCTCTCAAAATAGCCTTTAGACCAGTTGCCTCCCCAAAGGGGTTTGGAGCAATAGCAGTGTGTGAAGTAATCACATTATCTTGTGTCTGGAATAGTTTCCAATATAATTTTTATTCTGGTTGCTGGATTCAGGAAAATCTGAACAGGAAGAATTCGGGTAGCGGGTACAGCATCCATCAACACCAAGGCAATAAGCAGTATGGGACTGAGAAGTCTGGATTTCTGCACAAGAAGAGTGATGGGTAAGAACCAGAAGTGACTTTTAGGCTAACTGTAGTGTGTAGCAGCCAAAGAAATACCACTCTGGAAAGATTCTTGCATCTTACTGTAAATAGCTGATTTTATCAGAATCGTTTGGCTCATGTTTTCAGATTTAATCTGTATCATAAGATTAAGTGGTGGCAGTGTTCAATGCAGTTTCATGTTTAGGGGTAGATACTTTACAGGTGAGGTTTAGATCAGTGATTCCCAACCTCCACTCCATGGCCGTTAACCGACTTTGCAATATTTGTTTACTAGGAATAAGGCCCGTTGTGGAAATAAATACAATGAGATCTAGAAAGAGGCTCCGAGAGAGTGCCCAACGTCAATGTGCTGTGGCGACCTCAGCAGGGTATAATGACACAGAGTCCGCCATTTTCTCCAGAGAAACTGATCTGTTACCTGAAGAGCAGTTGTAATTTTCAGTGATCTCCAGCCCTCACCAGGAGATTGAGAAGAAGCAGAAGTGAGAGCTAGGGGTGTCTCTAGAAACAGTTTGTTGACCAACAAAATGAGAGTAAAAAATGAGAGTATTAATTGGGCTTTGCAATACACATCCTTGGCTATGCCCATTAAAAGGACTGTACAAAGGTTATGGAATTTGGTGGAAGATATCCCAGGGTGTGGCAATTCCCCTATAGTCAGCTTTAGAAAAACTAAAAGCATAAAGGATTATTGGTGCGTCCTGACTTCAGGAGACATGCAAATGACAGGACACTTCCCCCTGAGCACCATAAATGCTTGCGTTGTAAAACTTATCATTTAGCAATGGAGGGGGGGATGTGATTAATCTTCCCGGTCAACATCAGATAAAACTTTCTAAGTTTTCAACATGTTCAACTGGAAAGGTAATTTATTTAATCCTATGTCCCTGTGAATTAATTTATATCTGACAGACATCTAGACCTATCAAGGTGCATATCCTTGAACATATTTCACGCATCAAAAATAATATTTCTGAAACTGCTTTAACTGAACATTTCAATACTAAGAAACATAAATGTGATGATTTTAGATATACTGTGCTCTTTGTGGTGGACAAAACTGCCAATGTATGGCAAGTTCTCCTTCAGGAAGAGGCCAGATGGATTCATAAACTTAATTCTCTTACACCTAATGGGCTAAATGCTGATTTGGACCTTAGCTGTTTTTTGTAAGGTTTTGTGCTTGTATAATTTCTGTGCAGCATAATGTTCTCTCTAATGTAAGATCATGTTGGTTTTCTATTGGTATTTCTTCCTTTTGATAAGTCTTTTTGAAAATGGGTGTAAAGCAATGGTTTTCTCGTGTGTAAAATTATGGTGGTTTCTTAAATTGTGTTCTTCTCCCCCTGACTTTTTTGTCCCTGGTAAAATAGTTTTGTTTTGTTAAATGGCTTGACTGTCGGGATGGCAGCAATTACTGATGTATTAGAAATGGTAAAAGCTTGTAAAACCTCATTTGGTTTTTCTCCTCTTCAGGGCATACTGCCTTTGTAAATGGGTTTTGTCCCTTTAAGATGCAGGTCTGGCAAACAGCCAGCTGGCAGCAATTATGGG